AGGTTTTTGGAAGAGGATGACTCTGGTTTCATTTATGAGGGCGAAAACAACAGTGACTTTGATGCTCATAGAGAAGTGCAGCAAATAAGAAAGGGACATATTTAATTGCATATTAGAAAACTTAATACATATAAAATTATGTTCATTATTCAAATAACTTTCACATCTAAAAAATATTTCACTACAAATAAAACAACTGTCTAACAAAACTAGTATCAAAAATAATTAATAATTAATAGTATCAAAACTAGACCTCTGCTAATTTCTCAGTGTACAACGAACTATTCATTTATTAACAAAAATATGGTTTACATAACAAAAATACTCATTGCACATCAATTTAAATTAACTCTAAACGAAATAACAATTCTTTTAACAAAAGTACCGTAATTTTTCTTAAAAGTTGCTCCACAAATTATCTTCGTTTATACAATGAATCACCTACAACAAATATATTTATGACATGCATAACATTATTTCAAAAAGTCATGTGATTTCTGAAAATAATCGGGACTTTTTATCCCTTTCGCATACAACCTTGAGTCTGGTACAATATACCCGAATAAAGAACAAGCTAGAACGCTGTGCAAATGAAACTGCCCTCATTTTTTTAAAAACTATAAATTCAAACAGTCATGTTGTAGAGCTCACAATTCGACTCATGTATGTGGTACCCGCAGCAGACAGGAAGCAGAAAAGGAAGCGTGGATGTCCTGCGAAGGCAAGACCTGCATTAATTATTCAATAAAAGTTTTTTTTATTAACGTATTATGTCCCACTACTGGGCAATAGTTAATAAAAGCAATTGTTTTTTTTATAATTATTTTTTGTTTTTTTTTAAGCTTTGCAGTTGATTTTCTTATGAGCTATTCATAATATTGGAACTAAATTGAACCTTTACTAGCAAATACAAAAAAGAAACCACATTTTTTAGATTTTCAATCGACGTTGTTGCAATGTTTGTGTGCAATTTTAATTTTTTTTTTTGTTGATCTTATTGTTTTGGACAAATTGTGTACAATTAGACCATTATGTCAAATAAAATGGTGTCTCATTCCGATAGACTGATGTATCTTTCAGTGAAATAGGTGTGTTTTTTGTCATAAACTTGTGGTCGTACATATTTAGGTTTGTTGTGTGCCAGAAATATTGGATATGTATTTAGATGTTACATATGCATTGCGATAAAATGTTATACATTAATTTTAGTACATAATGCTAAATTAATTTTCTATCGATGTACATATTTTGATGTTATTCAGTACTATTGTTGGGGAATGAATTTAATATTATTTGGTTGTTAAAAAAACTTGCTTTTTTGGTGAACGGTTATACACTACCCAATAAGAAATAACACAGAGCAGGAGATAGTTCTGAAAGTGAGGAGCAGTTTTTGGTCTACTACCTAGGCAAAGATAGCAAATAAGAAGTATTTTCCATGACAGTAACGAGTATTTTTGAGCAAGATATATTCTTGTATGCAGCATGCTATTAAGTTTATGGTTTAAAAAAAATATTATTCTTTGACATAACTTGCCAATGGCTGTAATAAAACACTGCTTATCTCTAATAAAAAAAAATATTTTGTGTAAATGTTTTGTTGATACAATTTTACACATTTTCTTTTAATATTAAACTTAATTTTACGATGATATTTAAGAAATAACATACTAAAACGGATCTCGAACTTTCGGTCCCACACACCATGCGCGGGTATATGTGTTACACTATTTAGCGCAGGTATCGATGGCTAATAATTTGTATCTAAAATGGAAGCGGAAGGCGGAAATCTATGACTTGAAATGCATAAGTTACATTTGTGAATGATTATCAGCAAAAACTCTCGCTAACGATCAAGGAAAACCTCGCGATGAAACCTGAACGTCGCAGAAAACTCATAATTCTTGGAAAACTTCGTAACGCAGAACCGTGTCCAACAGTGAATCGTATAATGGGTTGACAATTTCATTGCTAGTGCCGATGTATACAATATTGGGTTGTTAATACGTTCAATTATTTTTAGTTAATTCAGACATAAAGAAAACTACGTCAATACCTACTAAAAATTAAAATGCTTTTCTCAAATATGATATTAAGGATAACGCTAAAAGTAGTTAAAATACTGTAATCATTCTTTCAACTGTAACAGCATTATTGTTATTGTTTTTGACCTGACCTTTATAGTCATAGCCTATAGCAAAAAACAGACGCGTATGCGTTGCCTATGCGTAAGTTGTACATATTTCGGACAAAAGTTATGGTTATAAGACGCATACATAACTATACCCAAAGAGATATTATGTAAATTAAATTAAGAAGTAAGCCCATAAAAACTTTTAACTACACGTCTCAACGGGAAGAACAAATGCTATAATTTAGAACTCATGGCAACACTAAAACAATATATACCGTCCCATTGATTTACGTAATCATGATGATAGTAAACTACCCGCTAACGAAGTTTTTACAGTGTACCTATCTTTGTAGTGATGTAAATATGTGTTGGTATATTATCGATAGTTTAGATTTCAAACTTGCTTCGTCTGCTGCGATGATAGTTTTCAAAGGTTTACTGTTATTCATAAACGCTCTGATACGTAGTAACAAAAATAGGGAAATGTGTGTTGATGTGGTTTGGAGTGTTGTGATGTTGAGTGTGGTTGAATTGAATGGAAGAGTGTGGAGAAAGAGATAAAAAGAGTCATTGTGAAAGGCGACATGGAAGAGAACGGCCACAAAAGACGTCCTCAGATCAAATCGAGAATGTTCTGGAATGCGTAGTGAGAAAAATTATGAATGGTCTTGACCTAAACTATCACTGACTGACTTATACACCCGTGTGATATTATTAAAAAAAACAACATATTACAACTAGTTTAGTCTTTTGAAATGCACGTAAGTGTAGTTTGTCTTTTTTGAAGATGGAATAAAATCACATTTGCAGGGTCGCCGTTTTCGTAAAATGTTAAATGTCATGTAGTTGTCGCCGACAATTTTGTCGATAGACTATGAAAAAATGCCAAAAATGTCTGGATTGTGAATGTTACCACGTTCTAATCATTATTAATTGCGTTTTTATTCTTATTTCGACAGTTGGTCTATTAAATAAATGTTTAGTCAGACAGGCTGAGTTGATTACGTATATTAAATTCATATGAAAAACTTTAAAATAGATCTCCTATTTGTGTTGTTTATATACATTCTGCTAAATTTTGTGTATGTATGAATTTTCAAAAATTAACAATTCAAAGGAACCTGCGCCCAGCAGTTGGATGATGATTCCGATACAATAAATTCTGCTAACATCGATAGCGCTTCTAAATTCAAAATACGAGTTTCATTAGATATTGTCTCGATAGTAATAGACCGAATGTTTCACAACACTGGTTAACGAACGCCAGAATTAGGGTAAAAGTACCGCTTAATTTTATTGTTTCATTTTAACTTTATTCCAGTTTTATGATTATTTTTATTCGACGACGCCATGTTATTTCGGTGTTGCTATAAAATTCGACTGTCATCTGCAATATAACAATTTAATTGCGTCGTATTATGTTTAAATGTTTTAAAAGATGTTTATTTTCATTTAGTTTCGAACTTTTTTTGTAATAAACAGATTTTATATGATGACTGTATGTGTTAATAGGTTTTTTATTATAATATTAAGTGACGGGACGAACAAGTCGGGTGTCTGATGGTAACCTACACGCCTGTCCATAACAGTTGCTGTGCCACTGAGAGCTTTAAATTGCAAAGATCTGATTGGCACTACCACTGCGCCTGTCACCCTGAGACATAAGTTAACAAGTCCTACGTGCCTGCAATTTCACCAGCACCCTTACCCTTCAAAACCGGAACGCTGTATTGCTTGGCGGCAGAAATAGGGATGGTGGCAGTGCTACCCGGAACGAACTTCTTCACAAGGAGTTCTACTGCTACTAGTTATCATTAACACATTAGTCATCCCACTGCTGATCACAGAACTCCTTTAAAGATAGTGTTTCAGCCACTCGGGTTGATGAATGCACACATTTCTTAAGGGTTGTAATATCCAAGAGGACATGCAGTTTAACACGTTGTTTTTCTTCTCAGCTAGGAAGAGATGTTGCTACTAAACAGACACAAATGTACGTAAGTTAGTCAAAGTCAAAGTGAAAAATTTTAATCTTAGGGCATGCTGCCACATGAATCGAACCGTTGACATTTCAATTGAGAAACAACCTATCTCCCACTAGGATACCACCGATCTTTTTATTAAAGTAATTTGAATTTGCAAATTTGTCTCCTCCAAAGCAAGTGCTAAGTGCTGGAAAATATCAGTTTGTTAAAGACAATAAAAAGCTGTTTTCTTATAAGAAAAGCAGTACAGAAGGGAAGATAAAAGGAAATAGAGGCAGGGGAAGACCAAGACAAAATGATTTAGATAACGGAAAGAGTCATATCAGGAAAATTATAAGATGAAAAATTAAGATGTTACTTTAGTTAGCTCTATTACATGATTGCGTTAGACATTATGTCAAATTTGTCTTTTTGAGTAGATAACACTTTGAACTTGGTACTCATTAGCGAGGTGTAACTGTAGCGTGACATTAATGAAATTGAACATGAATAATTGTAACTTCTTTATAAAATAAAACCGCGCCTTAAAAGTTTCCTGTCCGCTTTCGCTATGTTTGTTGCCGCGGCCTCCTCAACCTGCCTCAAATATAATTTGTTTGCGGAGACGTCAAACATAGACATCCAAAACATTCTTAATATAGTGAATTTAAGTAATTTTTTAATTATCACTTCATAAAAATGTTGTTCGTTGCGCACGTACGTTTTTGTTCGATAAAAAGTGGAGTTATAAATAGTTTAATTATTATTTTCGAAACAATAGTTATAAATTAGTTTGTTATTATTGAATACCTACAGCTTACGCCGACTTAATATATACGTTGTAATATTGTATGCTGTTACGTAAAAACTAATACTTATTTCTTTTTATCTCGTCTTTCCAGGTGTTGAAGTACTGCGAGCACCTGCACGGGAAATGGTACTTCAGCGAGATCCGCGCGATTTTCTCGCGCCGCTACCTGCTGCAGAGCCTCGCTATCGAAATGTTCCTCGCGAGCAGGAGTACGTACATACCTTACTTATCACACTTCAAATGGCCGTTTCACCGCCCGCTTTTCACCGCTGTTAAAAACAAGAATAAACCCCTGTACACGTACGATGCAATGCCAAGTTCATACATTGTTTATACGCATTTTACTAAATACACATAAGCAGTTCAACGCCATCTAGCGGCATCTTACCGTTTTTTTCTAAAGTATAATATAAAATAATAATAATAATGTATATGTAATAATGTACCTGATGACCACACCAATTGCCTGGTCTCAAATAGGGAATACCCTGTACTATGAATACCAGAGCAACGGATTCACCCAGGGTCACTTCTTAGAACACCCAGACCAGAACCAATTTAAAAACATCCTCATCCAGCGCCCACAGTATAAAGCCCGTTGGGCGACCGAGGTCATCATACAATAATAAATATCACTAATAACAAGTGGTAAAGATGGGTGATCCTAGTACAGCTGCTATGGAATTAAGTATTTTGCTGCTGCCCTCTAAGATTTAGCTCTCAAGACTCACTCCAACCATCTTTATCTTCCAATGGAGTGTCAGAGAACGTTGCCACCACCACTTTGGCCCATAACGTGTGGCCCAATCAGAATCTATTATCTTCTATCAGTTCTTTTCCATAATTACATCAAGCGATGACTAATGTGCACCATTTCTTTTCAATTGTTTTTTATTTATTTATTTATTTAAATTCACCAACGCTTAATACATTCGGTTACAACAATATTTTACACACATTCGATATGGTGTTACAGTTAAAATGCTTAACCAATTACAGGTGAACATGCCATGATGAGAGTATGAAAATTAAGACAATTATTATTAATTTACTGTTGTTTTTTTTTTACTGTACTTATATTACGTATATGTTTACTGTACTAACTAATTAAGTTATAAAATAACAAATTAAATTAAATTAAGTTTTCAGTATCCCCCCATTGAAATCGAATTCATAGCCCCTACATAGGAGGCAATTGTACAATTTTTTTAAGGAGATAATCTCACTGATGATATTTTTTGTTTCAGCGTCGATATTCTTCGCGTTTCCGGACCAGACGACAGTGAAGAAAGTGATAAAGGCGCTGCCCCGCGTGGGGGTTGGCATCAAGTATGGCATCCCGCAGACCAGGTAGGTGGCTGATTTATTTGCGACTTTGATAAACAATAACATTGTATACTGTTTCAATACAGGTGATAATAAAATCCTCTTCATATATTATCAGGTACCGTAATTTATATCAAAAATTACCGTACCTGATCGATTGTACGAGCTTATTAAGCGTACGAAAGAGAAAACTTTCCATTGTTCGTCGGATATCTCACGTTCTCATATATAACTCATTGACTGTAATTGCCAAACCGTAAATATAGCATCGAACAGTTTTCCTAATGCTAATTGCGACACTAAACCAGGAGAGGACCGATTGATCACCTTTATAATGGAACGTTTTTAATAAACACTATATAAAAAACCTATTTTAACAGTATTTGTCGTTGTATGTGATGCCATCTATCGTGGCATTTATGAATTAACAAAAAGGCTTCTATGTGCGCTCAACCGTAGAGCTTGTTTATTACTCTGTCGTATCGAAGCGGAACGATCGACCACTGAGGTTTATTGATAGATGGCGTTGCATGTCACAAAATTTAATAAAAATCTAAACATGTTTTTTGAATTGGTAATCGTTCGAAAAATCGTACAGAAACAAGAATGATTAATTTTATTCTTTAATGTAAGCAATGCTGTTTATTTTTAAATACAGATACTTGAAGGTTTACAGTTCCTTTTTCAACTTACAAGCCCTATCTGAAAGTTTACCCGGTAAGCAGTAAGGGCCTTACTTTATGCTAAATTAATAAAATTCTTTTTATTTTTTTTAACATTATTTATCAAAAAATAAATCGCGTGGCTGAATGTTCCCGTGGCAGAATCACAAAAGCGGCAATTTTCAAAAATAAACTTCAAAACTTTGTATTTAGCATGTTTTTTTGATTAACACATAGTAGTTCGAATGGTTTTACTGATTTCTTGGAATGAAAATAGAATAGCGGTCAATCTCAAAAACACAGACGTTATTAGGAGTTTGGCGCGCAGTACCAATTAGTCGTGTACCGTCCCAGTAATATTACCACGTAATTCTTTTTACCAATGGAAGGCTCGACGTCTCATATAGCTAATCAAAAAGAACTCATTTGTTTTTAACTGACTTTAAAAATGAGGAGGTTCTCAATTCCACTGTATTGTTTTTCTTTTTAACTGATTTTAATAAAACTTGGCAAATAGATCTAATTCGACGAACTGTTGAGGTCGGTATTTTTTTTTAAAGTTACAAATTATGATGCACTATTTTTTAAAAGTCGTGTGTTACTAACTCATTTCATTGTATTACTAACTCATAGCGCAGGCACAAATTAAATAGTTAAATTAGGTAGAAATCTATCCCAATATATCGAGGTACTTTTCTACATTATACATCTCTAGGTAGTTATAAGCTCATATTATTAAAGATAACGATGTGTAACCGCAGGCTAGGTATATGCGGGATAGCACAGTAGGTACATAAAAAGTTAACATTTTTGGTCTGGGCACAAGAAGTTTAGAAAAATAAAACAATAAGTTTGAAAAACAACACAATATTATACATTTAATTTAATATTCAGTTCATCACAGTGTTCAAAAAAATATTAATTTTAGTTAGATATTTATTTATGTAAGTATGTAAATACGTTAACCCTGTCACGAATCAGCACAAAAAAAGCACAATTTACTAAAATAAGTGTTCTATGTACATGGAAAATTCCATCATAAACCTACGTCCAAATTTCGTCGTAATCGGGTTTAAGAAGTTTTACACTTAGAACGAACAGCAATGTATAAACTGCCAGCCAATTGCAAAATTGCATGTTTCGTGCAGTTTACAAGTACTGCAAAGTGACTGCTAAAAACAGCTGTGCAATCGGTATTCATGATTATGTTAGTGTAAATGTAGAAAAACTGCCAACTATAAACTCGACTGACATGTCAAAATTTTAGCCCAAATTGCTGTAGCTCGACTTGTGCTGCATTCATTCTTCTTTCTTTCATTCGTTCAATCTACTTATTAATATCAACTTACGTTACAAAGTTGTACTTATTTGTGAAAAAAACGGTAATATAAAAATTCTTAAAAATACATTCTTAATACGTCACCTTGTAAACTATCTAACACGGAATGTTTTATCGAATTTAATTAAAAATAAAAAGTCACTCCAATCTATAATACTGATCACATAACACCACATTTCATTAAATATAAAAAATATGTACAAAATTATTGGTAACTTTCGTTTACAAGCTTTGGATCAACAAATTGAATCAAGGTACAAAACCTAACCTTTCTGTTCTTCGTCTTTAAGTATCCATTTTGGTGAAAATATATCACCATTCTTCTCCAAAGATACAGAAGCACCTGCACTATGCCTCCTTTGTACTGGCTTTTTGTCTATAGCACATTTAGCATTTCCTACTTCAGGATCAACATCTCTTTTCTCGTCATCAAACTGTCTCATAATCTCTGTTAAAGATTTCCCTTTGGTTTCTGGTAGAAACAACTGACAATATGCTGCTCCCAATAAAGCACAGCCTCCAAATAGATACAACGTACCATTACTGGTTAATAGATTCTCCAACTGAGGATATGTCTTGATGTTAAAGAAGATCAGGACATAAGCACAACAAGATGTCGTACCAGACATAACTCCTCTTATTTCTTGGGGATATAGTTCCCCTGACATTATCCAGGGTAATTGTAAGAATCCAACCATACTGAATGAGACGTGGAGCAAGATACACGCCAGTTTCATCAGTGGTGGTCCATTTAAAGAGTCACAAATTGCCGCTCCTAGCATTGCTACGCCTAAAAGAAGTCCTGACGTTGCAGCTAAAGTCCTTCGTCTAAAACTGTTGATTAAACAAGCTCCTACTGCACCCATAAAGACTCTTACACCACCAACAATGATTGATGCCGTGAATTCATTGACACTCGTACCAACAGCCTTAAAGAAATCCACAGCATAATACAATATGACGTAAATTCCAGACATTTCTTGGAACATAAAGAACACTATCAACAGCACAAACGGTTTTAAAACACTTCTTCGCTTAAATATTCCAAGTTTGGCCGTAAAAGACATTGTCTCTCCAATTTTTCTGTCTTTCGTAAACTCCATGAGTTCTTGTTGCGCCGCATTGGTGTTTTGCCTTAGCCAAACCATTGCATTGTAGGCTTCTTTCATCTGTCCTTTCGAGGCGAGCCATAACGGTGATTCTGGCACGAAGTACATCAGGAACGGTGTTAATAAAGATACTCCGGCACATATAGCAGCAACTTGTCGCCAGTGTATGAAGGCTCCCAGCGAGTAGACGATGAATATGCCCGTAGAGACCAGACCAGGTCCTAATGCACTAAGCACTCCTCGCTTTTCTGGCGTTGTTATCTCGGCTACGTAGATGTAGGAGGCTGTTGACATACCTGGAACGAGACATTCTTATATTAGTTATCTCTAGGTAATTCAATAGCTACTCGGTCAAACATCACATTGCACTACAAGTATGTTTGATTTATCTTTTTAACTTTTTTGGAATATGTTTTTTCTTAGCGTTATTTATAAACTTAAGTTTTAAAGGTCACTAGTGTACACATTTCTCTTACCGATAGTAAATCCGGTGATGAATCTCCCAACGCACAGAAAGACGTAAGTTTCTGAAAATGCGATGATCAGCCAGCCAATCAGGTTTGGCAGTACGATGGACTGCAGCAGCAACTTTCGTCCCACTGCGTCCACCATCATACCGCCGAGGAGAGCTCCCACGGGGTTGGAAATTACTCCTAAACTTGCTGCAATAAAAGATAAAATACATCAGTATACTTGATTTGCAGTTTGGTTTTTCACACCAACAGTGATTATCAATATTATCATCTTTTGAGACTTGTACGCCCAGCATAATTCTGTTCAAAGTTTGATGTGCGTTATTTGTACGCGTACATGGCATGTACAACAGTTTAAGAAGGAATAACAACAATCAATACGTTTGTAGTCAGAATTACTTTGGCTGTTAATTACAATTGAATATAATTTCCTTGCTATAAACTGTCTAGTTCATTATCTTTAGTCGACCTTTCTTCAGTGAAAAAGTTCTTAAATATTTTACCAAACAAAACAAGGAAAAAAGAATGATTGTAATTCACATTACTTTTTATAATTCCTTGTGCACCTGCATTTCTATCACTCGCGCGTGATTCCTCAGTCTCATGCCAGCTCAGCTCTTATCGCCACAAGCAGACGTTTCATATTTATTAATATTACCATTAATTTGAACTATGCCTGTTTGCATAACGCTATCTCCTATTTACAAACGTTGTTCATACACGGATGTTTATTTTTCCACTTGTTTCTCTATTGTTACTCTTTTGTCTTTGTTGAACGGTATTGTGTAATATTGTTATTGAAACATTTAAACCTAACTCCACTTTTAACCACTATGTAGATTGTGTTCTCCTAGTCTCTAAACATGTTAACTTAAACGTAATTACTCTTAATAATATACAAGCTGGTGCTGCTCGTTTGATACGATATGCCAGATTTTGGAGCTGTGTCTTTTTAAGTGCCTATGACGCAAATGGAAGCCTGTCTGTCTAGGTATTTGTTTTTAGCATCAAAATTATCTGTTTTTATATTTGCGTATAGGCCTATTAATAGTTACGTCGGGTGAAGACCGGATGTTCTTCTAACCTTCTGATGTACATATATATTATAAGTGGATATATTTATAATGTAAGATTGCCATGACCCGAAGTTCTGGTGTTTGTTTGCACACACATTTTTGGCACTGATCGCTGTTCCGAATATAACATGTAAACACAGATTCATTCAATGCGTTTCGACTCTCTGACTGTAAATGCCAATAGAGCGACTTGGGCCAAGATTTTATCTAACGCTATACATAATAAAATAAATCAAGGATATTGATTTATTTAATCTTACGGTGTCTTACGCGGTATGCCACCTCATATATGTGTCAACGATGCTTATTGAAAATAATATCCAGGCAATATGGCCTTAGTCGCCCTGATCCAATCTAATCAGGACCGCGATTCAGAACTCTTCGATATTTTAACCGAATCGTTCGACTGGCTTTCGTTCTCGAATCGACGGGCGCTTTCCGAGCTATTCAGAACATTCGAATTGAACGTTCGATTCCAATTCGCATACGATATCCAACATCGTTTACGGAGTTAGTCGGTGAAATAGATTATAAGAAAAATGAAAATCCTTTTATAGGCTTTATTAAGACTAAAATATAGAAATACATTATTCTTGCATTAAAATAAACTAATAAAATTGAACAAAATCCAGACTTTATTTAAAATAATAAGAGATTTCCATATTACATTCTTGCTTTGTGAACAATAGGACGTTCGATTTCGATAGCTGTGTTCTGAATAACGTTTCGTCTAGTCTTCACCCAGTTAGACTTTGCCGCTCGTGAATTCCAAGTAATCGTACGGGTGTGACATCATTTTGGTTCGGTTTCAAATACGACAGTTTGACGTTCGATTCGGGTGTTGTGAATAAAAATGAAAAGAAATCGGTCGACAACTGGGTTATTGTAAGGTCCTGAATCGACTGCCAGGAAAGTTCCGTAATACTTGCTTAAATGACAATCATACAATCTTCTTCTTTTAGCGACTCGGCGACTGACACAGCACTATCAGAGCGTTGTACAATTCCTTGCGTGTGCAGGTGTCCCTACGACAAAAGATGCGCCATTGTCTGGGGAAAGACCCATGCGCTCTCTTAGTAGAACCCCACCTGTACATGGGCTCCTTGCTTCGGCCGACTAGGGTCCGCAGCTTGTTCAGAGACTTCCAAGTTTGCCAACTTGAGGATGTGTACGGACTTGGTTAGTTTTCCCGTCCAGAGGAAATCTAATGAAACTATAACGACTTTAGCCTCTGAATTACCGACACGTGATTATGCAAGGGTAATCTATAATACAAATGCGGAAGTACTCTGACCCAGTATTGATGAACTTTGGCATAGAAATGGATGGGGCCTAAGAGAAGGACGTAGTCTACTTTTTGCTACCAAAATAAATTTAAAAGGGAGTGAAACTATGAAACGTTATAGTGTTGATATAAAACTTCCGAACTCGGATTGCTTTAATTCGCTTTAACAATATTGGTTTCGTGAAGTCTGCCTTGAGTACTTAGTTCTCACAACTAAGCCAAGAAAGACAATGTGTCATAGTGCAACAAAGGTTTTATTTTCATGTTGATACAAATGGTTTGTTCAAATATTATGATTGGGAACGCATAGGTACAACCTTTGGTTGCGTATTACCGCGAATCTCTTGAAGCGTGATATTGATTTTAAAGAATTCTTATTTTACAATATACGCATTCAATTAAACGTAAATATAAAGATCGAACTCTAAGAAAAAATTCGTTTGATCCGGTTGGATTCGAACCAAAGTCTTCTAGCAAACAGTGCCAGACGCTAAGCCAACTAAGCAAAGGAACGAACCAGCGGGCCTCATGAATTTTTCTGTGTGTGCTTGTTACGGTAACCTATCACAAGTCGAAATTTTTTTTGTCCGAAATAACGATATCTTGAATGTTTACCGCAAAGACACGATTAGGTTCGGTTAAATTTAAAAGAAAAACATTTTCCTCCCAAAATTACTTTCGAGGTTATGAAATTTCGACCAAACGTTATTTCTGGGAAATGTCATTTCGGACTACTGACAGGTAACCGCTTGTTGCAGATCTTTGTCTTGGTTTTTAACGACTTTTGCCGTAGCGCCATCTGTGAGAAATGTATTTCTCCACTCAGCCAGGTACCTTAAACCTATAAATTAAATAGCTTTTGAACTTGATGTTCTTTCATTATATGACTATGGAATGTATTTAGATTTTTTGATTACATTATCGCGTGTGATTAGTGGTAGCTTCATTACACTAATTTTACGTTTCACTGCTGTACATGGTCCATTCGATGCAGAGTATTTAGGATATATTTCGCCACAGTAACCTAATGCGGGTTAGGGTGTTTTGCACTTTTTCCAAGCATAATAAACATTCTTCGACAAGCAGATTTCATCGCGATGGTTTTCCTTCGCCATCAACTAGTTATTGGTACTAAACATTTACAAATACGTTACCGATCCATGAGCTCTGTTCGTACGTGATGTTGGGGTACTCGTGCGTGTACTGGGGCAGCAGCACTGCTGAGAAGCCCTGGCAGAACCCCACCGAGATGTTGATCGACTGCGCTGCCAGCGCCGCCAGCACCTTAAACAAAATTAAGCATACATCAATAAACCATTACATAAAATATTTGTTCTTGTACGGTTCGTAACTTAATCACTTATTTTTAGATCCCAAATTTCTATCCTAAGATTGCCTTGTGAAAAATAACTACTTGTCAATAAAACCGCCTGTTGCAAGTCACTTTTATACTTCAGTCACTGTTCTGTGTTGCCATCGCAAATTTTATGTGCAATGAAGAATATTTAATTCATTCATTCATTCGTTAATTTCATTTATGTTTCATTAACACAAATCATACTAATTTTCAATACATTTTTTTTTCATAACTATGTTTTGAAAAAAAAAAAGACCTATATGAATTTCAAATTATTGTCCTAACACTATTTGGAACGCGAATACTACAACAAAACAAAATAAATGTTGTTTAAAGTACTCCTGAAAAAAAGATTCATCAATATTTATTTAAATTTGAAATTGTATTAGGTTCCTAGCTATTTGGATTTCTTATCTGAATAAATAAATCTTCAATCTCAAGTTTGATGTGCTATTAATCTTGTACTAATGAAAATTATCTACTTGCAATGCATACTGATCTCTACAAGTACGTTATACCATGATAATTCAACTGTACATAATCGTAGGGAACATTAATTATGAATGCCTCTATTGATTTCACATAATAACATATCTATGTACATGTATGTTACACATTATAATCTTATTACTTCTCCTTGTCCATAATGTTAGGGCAAATTACCGTGTAATAACGATCAACTGGCACGTGTCTGAGTTTTCCTCAACAACTCTTTATATGCTTATCTGGCTGATGAAACTCTTGCTCATCTATGTACTCCTGGTACAGCGATAGTAATTTAATAAACTTTCAAACGTCGAAATCGCTAGATTGGTTTACTTCAGCTATTTTCATAGTTAACCCATTGACTGCCAACTACGCATATATACGTAGCTAGCGAACATGGAAGAGGCCAACTACGCAATAAAACGTAGCACTTCCCTAACAGTTTACAAGAAATCTATACCATTGGGCCCCCTAACTTGAATGTTTTAGTATACTTTGGCACCTCAAATAAAACACCCAATAAAAAAGTAGTAACTTTATTGATCCTAAATTAAATTTTTTTTCGATAATCTAAGACACTTCTAAACAAAAAAAACAATAAAATAAGCAAGTATCGTGTAATAATCATTGTGCGTTTTACCTACTAATTAGTTTCAACTTCTTTTTACAACAATCAACAGTCTAAAGTAAAAAGAAGGTATTATAGCGAAACAAAAAAATCAAACAAAACGAGGGTCGGTGTGAAAAATTTGAAAACAATTTACCACACATAACGCAGGCTTTTCAGGGCACATAGCACACACGAATGTTGTCTCCTTTCGTTTCTTATTTTTGGTGCATACTCGACAAGGTTTAGCTGGAACAGCTTTTTTAGTGGTAGGTGGAATTTTTTCTAGGTAATGGAAAGTTTCAGGATGAACACGCGTAGTCAAAGGATGCTCCATGCGTCTAGCACAAGTTGCTGGCGATGAATGGTAATGGTAAGGTGGTCGTGAGAGTCCGGGCAATTCTGGTGACAATATGTTTTCTTGTGATGGCTGTGCGCGCGGTGTGTTAGACGATCCTGATGGTGCCGAGGTATTCAGTTCCACATTATTGTTTAGTCCCAAAAGATGCGTGATAAAATCTTCGCGGAACTTTAGAAGTCTCGTTTTCGTTGTTCTATTTTTCAGTCGGAATAATCTGTGGGCGTTTTGCAAGTATACTTCAAAAATATGAAGCGCTAGTTTCTTGTGCCATCTCAGTGTCTTCCTTAGGCACGAATAGTAGGAGACCATTTGATCACTTCTATCCACACCAGACATGCCTAAGTTGTAATCCGCTACAATATTGGGTTTCAACGAAATTTTACCATTTTTGTTTAGCACGTTCACCATTTGAACTTGATGTTTGTTGGAAATGACTAAAACATCTCGTTTATCCTTCCACTTACACACGGTAATGTCACTGCAAACTTGTGAAGCAAGTTCTCCTCGTTTCAACTTTGCATTAGTAACTTCATAAGGGATATTTTTGCGATTTTTGCGCAGTGTTCCACAAATGTATGTTTTTCTTTGTCCAATACGTCTTGTCAAATCCGGTGAATTGTAAAAATTATCAGTGTAGACAACATGACCTTTATCCAAATAACCTTCCATGAGATCTAATACTACTTCAGTGCTATGAAGTGTACCGGGTGGAGGTTTCTCGCTCTTACCTTTATAAATACGGATTTTCAGAACCATTCCTGAGGACTCGCAAAGTTCATATAGTTTTACACCATATTTATGCTTTTTATTTTTTATATATTGACGAAAAATCAACCTTCCTCTCCATAAAACCATTGACTCATCAATACTAAGATCGGTTTCAGGATAATACAGTTCGGGCATCAAGGTGTTAAACCTTTCTAATATGGGATTTATTTTATGCAGTCGTGAAGTAGCTGTATCGTCATTTTCAGAGAAATGAAAGTTGCGTAGCAACAGTTGAAATCGATTTCTACTCATGATAGATCGAAAAAGTGGCAAATTGTAAAGCTGATCTGTCCTCCAATAGTGGCTTATGGTTGGTAATTTTATCAATCCCATGTAAAGCAACATGCCAATAAACCTTCTCATTTCTTGGTAGTTCGTGTCTTTCCACTGTCTAAGTCGAGCATATTTTTGTAGGGGTCTGACCGTTTTGTGGGCGTAAGTATTTGTAGCTTGTACCAATGAATCCACGAAATCATTTGAAAAGAATATATCTGCCAATGCAGGCGGTGTAAGACAGAGATTCGTTTTTATACCTGGTTCTCCTAAAAATGCGAATCGCTGCGGTCTTGCTGTACCCGTGCTCCACTGGAATTCTGGATCACACGACGGCGGCTCAACTTCCGGTTCAGGTGGTGCGTCGTTAGATATGGTAGAAGACGAATCGAAATCGCTGGAGTCTGGTTTATTTACGTCGCGGTCAGGATCATATTCATCATCTGATCCGGCAGAAAAATCTCCATCGTCTGACGAAACTTCTTGATAAAGAATCCTCACGATTTCATTTTGGTTTACAGCAGTACGACGACCTTTCAGGATACGACGAGTCGATTCCCGTCCCCGCGGCATTATAATAAATCACAATACGTCAATATCACTGCGCACGCGGTGTCATACTAAAATTTACAAACAGTATTTAATATTTGGTGAATCCCCTTTC